GAGTGGAAGGAGGTGTAAGAGAATAAAGGTGGGGATAAATGGTGATGGAAGGGGACTTGACTTGGAGTGGTAAACACACAATATACAGATGATGTATTATAGAATTGCATACCTGAAACCTGCATAATTTTATTAATCAATGTCACCCCAATAAATTCAATTTAAAATAGTATTAGTGCTCAAATAAAACATCAATCTAAAATAGAAAAAACTTCTAAAATACATTTATCTATATAAAGTTCTGTTAGCTGGATACATCAGTTTCTCAAGGATGTAGGACTTTCTGTTTCCTGTCTAGCCACAGAACTTCAGACCTTCATCACACGGTGGTTACATAACTGCTGTGCCCTGGCCAGTTTGGTTCAGCGGTTAGAGCATCGGCCCGTGGGCCAGAGAGATCTGGGTTTGGTTCCCACTAAGGGCACATACCTCAGTTGCAATTTGTCCCCAGCCCGGGTTGGGGTTGTGTGGGTGGCAACCATTCGATGTGTCTCTCTCACAAAATGTTTCTCTCTCTCTCCCTCCCTTTCTCCCTCCTGCTCTATCGGAAGATAAATGCATAACTGCAGCTGCTCACATTTAGGTTTCCTGCCCTGCTTGCTCTTCCTTCCTGCTCTTTCCAATCTATCATTCACCCTACCTAAAAAGTAATCTCCCTAAAACAATCCTTTCCCAAAATCTACTCAACAAGAACCTACAAGGGATCAGAATTCTAATCCTCAGCTTTCTAACAGGTGTGCCAAAAATGGGCAACACGGCCCTGGCTGGTTTGGCTCAGTGGTTAGAGCGTCAGCCTGTGGTCCAGAGAGACCCCGGTTCGGTTCCCACTAAGGGCACGTACCTCGGTTGCAGTTTGTCCCCGACCCTGGTTGGTCGTGCGGGTGGCAGCCACTCGATGTGTCCCTTTCACATCAATGTTTCTCTCTCTCTCTCTCTTCCTCTCCCTCCCTGCCTCTCTATCTGAACAAAAAATGGAAAAATGTCCTCAGGTGAGGATAAAAAAAAAAAAATGGGCAACAGGTAGACAGATTTTAATGTCACCATTCAGCCCTCTGTGGTCAGAATCCCCACACCCTACAGAGCCTCCAGGCCACCAGAGCTGACTTGTCAGTTTACCCTTAAAACACCATGAAATACAGGGGTTGGCAAAAGTAGGTTTACAGTTGTCAGTATGTGAAATACTTTATTCTTGTATTATTATTATTTTTATCTGAATCTGAGGACATTTTTGCATCTATCTTCAGATAGAGTGGAAGGGACAGAGGAAGGAAGAGAGAGAGAGAAACATCAATGTGAGAGAGAGATATCGACTGGTTGCCACCCACACAACCCCAACTGGGGCCGGGGACAAACTGCAACAGAGATACATGCCCTTAACGGAAACCAAACCCAGGACTCTCTGGGCCAATGCTCCAACCACTGAGAAAAACTGGCTAGGGCTCTTGTATTATTTATTAATTATTGCATTACTTATTTGTATTATAACAGTAAACCTACTTTTGCCCATCCTTGTATGTTGGAAAGTGCTCTGAGTGCTCCCTAAAATCTGTTCCCAACTACTGCACTAATTTCTCATGTCCTTCCAACATAAACAAGAAGAATTAATAGAAATTATTTGGTCATACTTTATTCAAAGCATAAGAATCACTTCTACCCATACATATAAGGTTTTTCACTGATGCATTACATGTAATAACAAAACGCTAGAAGCAATCCAAATGATAAAAGTATATTGCTATATTAATTTTGGTATATTCAGCCATGACATGCTATATCCCATCAAAAAGAATGAAAAAGCTGCCCTGGCCAGTTTGGCTCAGCGGTTGGAGCGTCGGCCTGCGGTCCAGAGAGGCCCGGGTTCGGTTCCCGCTAAGGGCATGTGCCTCGGTTGCAGTTTGTCCCCGGCCCTGGTTGGTCGTGTGTGTGGTGGCCGCTTGATGTGTCCCCTTCACATCGATGTTTCTCTCTCTGTCTTCCTCTCTCTCCCTCCCACTCTACCTGAACAAAAAATGAAAAAATGTCCTCGGGTGAGGATAAAAAAAAAAGGAATGATAAAGCAAATATATAGAAGGCTCTCCAAGATATAATCAATGAAAAAAAGCACAAAGTACAGAAGTATATATATGTTATTATTAGTCTAAAAGAGGGGGATATATGTGCATATTTGTTTGTATATGCATGTGCTATGGTCTGAATGTCTATGTCCCCCCAAAATTCATGTTGAAACCCTAAACCCCAAAGGTGATGGTATGCTGTATTAAGGTGGGCCTTTGGAGGTGATTAGGTCATAAAAGTGGAATCCTCATGAATGAGATTAGTGCCTTTTATTAGAAAGACCCCAGAAAGCTTGCTCACCTTCTACTGTGTGAAGATACAGAGAGAATGTGCGAGCTAAGAACCAGAAGAAGGCCATCACCCAGCCACTCTGGTGAGATCTCACTCTTCCTTCCTCCAGAGCCATGAGCAATAAATTCTTGTTGTTATAAGCTTCCCAGTCAGTAGTATTTGGTTAAAGTAGCACCAATGGACTAAACAGAATGAAATATCCCTTTAAAGGACATCTAAGAAAAGTGATAACATCTGTTGCCTCTGGGGTAAAGAACTAAACATGTGGGAGGACTTCCCACTTTCATAACCTTTGAATCCTTTGAATTTTGAACCACAAGAATATATTACCTTTTCAGACAAAATTAATTATAATTTATTAAATTCTATCTACAGACACCATGGTTCCTCCATCTCTTCCTACCATCTGTCAATGCCAGGGCGGGCTCTAGCCCACAGAACGGGCCCCTGAGATCAACACTTTCCTTCAGTCAAAGTAGTATCCCACTAATCCACACCCACACACAGAATTGTGTCCTCCTGCCTCAATGCCTTTGTCCATGCTCTTTTCAAAAATGTCAGAATTCTCCTTCTTGCTTGCTCCACTTTCTAAATTACCACCTCCTTCAGGGATCTGTTCATATTCCAATCCCTCCAAAATATTTTCCAGAATTTTGTAATCCTGACCATCCTACACGGTATCCATGTACCCTCATTTTACTTGCATATCTGGAACATGGCCAAAACATGTATATCTGATATTATAACGAAATTGTTTTAAAAAACAAAACAAAAACTCTTTAGTTAAGAAGTAATAATTTCTACTGAAGGACAGAGTGATTTCCACAATATGATGCAATTAGAAAATCAAATAAGCCCTGGCCAGTTTTGCTCAGTGGTTAGAGCGTCGGCCCATGGACCAATGAGTCGCAGGTTCCATTACAGTCAGGGGCACGTACCTCAGTTGCGGTTCGTCCCATCCCTGGTTGGGTTGTGCAACTAGTCACATTGATGTTTCTCTCCCCACCCCCCACTCTATCTGATGATAAATGTAAAAATATCCTCGGGTTAGGATTTTAAAAAAATTTCAAATAAAATGAACACTTGATCATGTCCTTTCTGATGAAAATCTTTCAATGGTTTCCACTGATACTGGACAAAGTAAAAACACCTTAATATTTTTCACCAAAAATCTCAAATCTTCCAAACCTCCTCCCTCATCACTCCTCTTAAGTTTCACATACTTAACATATTCTTCCTCACCACTGGGCTTTACTTGTGGTGTTCCCCTACCGAACCCATCCTCTCCTGTTCCCAAGCCCCTTTCCTCTGGCTCAGGAAAGTTTGAAAGTGAAATATTGGTTTTCACCTATCAAGTTGGCAAAGGTCAAAGAGTCTAAAAATGCATTAAATTAGCAAAGGTGTGGGGAAACATACCTTTGCATACACTGCTGGCAGGAGTATATAAATTGGTACAACTTCCATGGAGCACAGTTTGGCAATATCTACCAAAATTACAATTGCATGTGTAGTTTGACCCAGCAATTCTATTTTCTAAACTAGAGATATATTTGTATGCATGAGAAATAATGTTATGTAGTATTTGTTATAACAAGAGTGAAAACAATCTAAATGTCTACCAAGAGAAAATTGATTAAATATATTCTATAAATATTCTGCAGGTATTTAAAAGAAAAAGGCAACCCTTGCCAGTCTGGCTCAGCAGTTAGAGCATCAGCCTGCAGACCAGAGTGTCCCAGGCTTGGTTCCCGCTAAAGGCATATACCCTGGTTGCAGTTTGTCCCTGGCCCTGGTTGGGGTCGTGTGGGTGGCAGCCAGTCGATGTGTCTCTCTCACATCAATGTTTCTCTCTCACTCGCGCTCTCTCTCTCTCTCTCTCTCTTCCTCCCACTCTATCTGAGGATGAATGCAGAAAAATGTCCTCGGATGAGGATAAATAAAGAAAAGAAAAAAAAAAGGCAGTTGCGTATAAGCTTATATATGTAAAATATATTTTATTTAACTACAGAAGAAAAAGCCAGAGATAACAAGCAAAAACTGAAAAAGTATGTGTAGTATACTACCACTTGGTTTAAACAAGTTTGTAGAACAAATGAGATATATATATGCTTAAATAACCCTGCACTATCTTCGGAAGGATTCAAAAGAAACTGCTACCAGGAATCATCTCTGGGGAAGGGAGGTGGCTTAGTGGGAGTAAAGAAAGAAAACTTTATTTCCTACTTTTCTATCTTTTGGATTTTCTACTATTACATGCATGATAAACAGATAGGTAGATAATAGATAGATGGATAAATGGATGGACAGACATTAAATTTTTTTTTTTTTATCCTCATCTAAGGATATTTTTCCATTTTTTGTTCAGATAGAGTGGGAAGGAGAGAGAGAGAGAGAAACATCGACGTGAAAAGGACACATGGAGTGGCTGCCTCCCGCACAACCCAACAAGGGCCGGGGACAAACTGCAACCAAGGTACATGCTCTTAGCGGGAACCAAACCCGGGTCTCTCTGGACCACAGGCCGATGCTCTAACCGTTGAGCCAAATTGACCAGGGCTAAAATTTATTTATTTATTTATTTATTTTTTAATGAGAGAACCACACGAGTATATGTGGCCCTTTATACAAACTTTAATCTCCAAGGGATTTCTTACCTGCTGGTTGGTGCAGGGAAAGAAAATGAGAGAAGCTGATTCCAGAACGGGTCATTCTCAGAGACAGATTCTGTGCCTGATAACTTTTTTAAGTACTCATTTTTAGGAAGATCACCGATTCTGCTGCTGTTCGATCCCATCTTCTAATCTGGGAGACAACTTGTCCTTAAACCTTCATTTCCACAAGACAACCTATAAAGAATGAAAAGAAATTTCAAAGTTGTTCAAAATAATCCTCAAACTTTTCCTACCCTTGACCTAAATGTAAAAAAACTGTAAATTTACTAAAGGAAATCACTCCTCTCTTTATTTTCAAATATATTAGACATCAGATACAAAGTTACCAGTAGAAAAATGGAGCTAACATCTGCCTTAACAAACACAAAAATCAGAATCTATACTTGTAGATCGTAGAATGGGTATCTCTCTCTCCTCTACACAGCAACAACAGGGTACTATTTGCTGAGCAGAGTGAAGGCAGTGCCCGAGGCAGCTGAAATGCCCAGGAGGAACAAGCAAACAAGGCTAGCCACTGAAGTATTCCTGTCACAGAGTTCCACCTGCTCCCCATCCTCACAGAAAGCAAAGTAGAATACTGAGGCCCAGTGGCATCTTTTCTGCAATGAATCATGTCAAGCATTACACACGCACACACACACACACACACAATCTGGACCCAATTTATTTGGAACTCCCAAGACTCTTACCAATGAAAACTAGAATAAAATGGAACTTGAAAAACCCACTATCCAATCAGCTCACCTCCTAAGAATCCTATTACTTTTCCCTCTAGCTGTGCCTCAAAAGACTTCATGGGTCTCAGCTCTTCTTTCTATCTGTCAATAATTGAGCCTATCTCCTGGTTTCACTAGTGGCTTCCATGATATTACTCTCAAACCTCTCCTAGTCCCAACCTCTGACCAGAACGCAAGTTCTAACTAGATCCCTAAAATACTTAAAATGTTTTATAACTCAAGGATAATATATTTTAATTACATATGCAGTAATTTCGTGCCTCACTTAAGTCTGTACTAAAAATGAGAAGCAAGCTATTGCTGATGCTTTTAGCAGGAAACTTTTCAAAGGATCTATATTTTTAAATTTTTTATTTATTGATTTGAGGGGGGAAGGAAGGTAGGCAAGGAGGAAGGAAGAGGGAGGGAGGGAGGGAGGGAGGGAGGGAGGGAGGGAGGGAGGGAGGGAGGGAGGGAGGATAGAGAAAAACATCAATTTGTTGTTCCACTTATCTATGTACCCTTTGGTTGATTCTTGCATGTGCTCTGACCAGGGATCTAACCTACCAGCAACCTCATGTATATTCTCTAGCCAACTAAGCCACCCGGCCAGGGATGCAAAGGACCTATTTTAATGTAATGTAGTCAAGACTGACCTTAACATGTGCAAAATTGATTCCATCTTCCCTTCCAGAACCAGTTTGCCCTCTCAACTTCCACTGCTCCCCTAAAGTTCCCATTATGTACAAACTATCTTGAAATGTGATTTTTCTGTAGTATAAATGACATATTCCTAAATAATAATTTAAAGTAAAAGAAAATTTCTTTTGTTAAATAAATCGATTGTTCTCTTTACCTTCTCTTCTTATCCTTCAGGAAGGATCTGTATATTCTTCTGGCTGTGCTTTAACTTCTATGTAAATAACCCCAGAATTAATATTTTGCCCTGACTTCTCAGTCAAAACCCAAGCATAAATCTTTACTTAATGGCCACTTCAACTTGATGTCTTGCTATCATCATAAATTTTTAAATAGATTTTAACATTTGTCCCCAAAAATAGGTAACCCCTCCAAAAAATCACTATTTCCATCAATGTCATCAACCTTCCTGGCTCAAACTGTCTCACTCATATAACCAACCACTTATTCCATAAATACCTATTACACACTTACTATAACTATTAGGTGTTATGCTAGAAACTGAACATGTAAAAATGAACAAGACCAAGTCCCTGCCATTAACGAACTCAAAGCCTGTTTAACACATATGGTATATATTACAACAGAGTTACTTATACATAAAAAGCTATGGAAACACATAGGAGCATCTATGTGCAATGGTGCTTTTACTCAGCCAGTTTACTTATATGATCTGTATGTCAGAAACTAGGTTAAGTGCTTTATAATTACTGATTCATTTCACCCCCATGAACAACTCTAAGATGTGGTCACAATTTTCTCATTTTACAAATGAGGAAACTAAGGCACAGAAGGGTTAAGTAACTTCCCCAAGGTCCCAGATATAAGTGGCGAACCCAGGTAATCTAATTTCAGAATCCCCTGGTCTTTATCCCTCTACTAGGTGAGTCTCCAGTGACATCAACAAGTCCTTTGGGTTCTTCTACAATATCCACAGTACTACATACCATCTTTTTTTTTTATCCTCACCCGAGGACATTTTTCAATATTTTGTTCAGATGGAGTAGGAGGGAGGGAGAGAGAGAGAGAGAGAAACATTGACGTGAAAGGGACACATCGAATGGTGGCCACCAGCACGACCCAACCAGGGCCGGGGATAAACTGTAACTGAGGTACGCGCCCTTAGCGGGAACCAAAGCCAGGTCTCTCCAGACTGCAGGCCGACACTCTAACTGCTGAGCCAAACCAGCCAGGGCATATACCATCTTTTAAATCCAACTCTTTCTTTACTCCCACTGCCTCCATGCTAGACTAGGCTTTTATAATCTCACATGATTTAGTGCAACAGTATCCAGGTGTCTTTCCTTCCAATCTTTCCACTTTGATTCACTTTGCACATTCCACTACTGCATTAATTCTTAAAAAAAAAACACACACACAGAAAATTGTCCAGCATTGCAATGAAGAAAGGTTCCAGTGTGAGCTAGACCCTGCTAAGTCTGTATAAGAATAGTTTGAATCTCCATTTACAACTTATAAAACCTCACTGCATAATGGGAAAAACAACCGTACTTAAAACTCATAAAATATTCTAGAATGAAGCAAGATAATCCATACAAAGCACTCAGTGCACAGCCCAGCCAGAGTGGCTAGGCTGGTTGAGCGTCTTTCTGTGCACCCAAAGGTTGTGGGTTCAATTCCCAGTCAAGGGCATGACCCTGGTTGGGATCGTGTGGGAGGCCACTAATTAATTGATGTGTCCCTCTCATATCGATGTTTCACTCTCTCCCTCCTTCCTTTCTACTCCTCACTAAAAATCAATGAAAAAATATCCTTGGGTAAGGACTAACATATAAACAAAAAAAGAGAACCTGGCACAGCATATGCTTAGCCAGATAAAAGATCGAATATAATTTATTTTAACATTATTAAAGTTACCACTTCCATCATTTTACTCACCAGTTCAAAAACATTCAATGATCCCTCATTACCTGAAAAACAGAATACTGACATTCCAACTACCTTCCAAACCACTGGTTCTTAAACTTTAAAGTACATGAAAAACACCTAAGGAGCAGGTGGCTAAAAATGCAAATGCCTGGGCCTCAAAAAATTCAGAATGTCAGGGTAGGACCCAGGCATCTGAATTTTCTAAAAAGCATTCACAGAGATTTTCATACAAGTGGTCTATGAACCCTCTTTGCAAGTAAGCACCATAACGAAGCAGAGGCAAGGTATCTTGTCACATCTAGCATGTTCATCCACACCTCTGCTCTTGCCATTCACACCTGTCTTCCACAACCACATTTGTCCCACAGCACTTCAAAGCCTATTCACTAAGCATAGAGTGATCTCTCTTTTCTCTGTAATCCTAGCGCACTCATTACCTTCACCACTCATTTGAATTTACCCTTCTAACAATGCCTTGTTTTGCTGTCTGAATTTTATACTGCTATATTTAATCAGATCAGTTATTTTTCTGAGTCAATTTTACCATCATAGGCAAAAACAATATTTTGAACAAGAAATGATATGCTTGCCTGGCCGGTATGGCTCAGTGGTTGAGCATCGACTCATGCACCAAGAAGTCACCAGTTCGATTCCCAGTCAGGGCACATGCCCACCCAGGTTGTGGGCCCAATCCCCAATGGGGGGCATGCAGGAGGCGGCCAATCGATGTTCTCTCTCATCAATGTCTCTATCTCTCCTTACTTTTTCCTTCCTCTCTCTCTGAAATCAACAAAGAAATGATATGCTCAATATTTTGTATTTTGTGAAATATTTGATATATACATAAAATTAAATCTCTTCTTTTATGGTACTGGTTCACTGTCTCCTAATTTACTGTGCCTTAAATGGAAAGCAAACATTAGTGGACCTGAAAATCCATGGTAGCCAAAGTCTGTCCTAACACTCTCAAAATATGCAAGTGACACCCTAGTGCACTCTGTCCCAACTTAGGTTGAGAATCCATAAATCATAAACTAGCCCTGGCCGGTTTGGCTCAGCGGTTAAAGCGTCGGCCTGCAGTCCTGAGAGACCCGGGTTCGGTTCCCGCTAAAGGCGCGTACCTCGGTTGCAGTTTGTCCCCGGCTCTGGTCAGTCGTGCGGGTGGCAGCCACTCGATGTGTTCCTTTCACATCAATGTTTCTCTCTCTATCTCTGTTCCTCTCTCTCCCTCCCACTCTACCTGAATAAAAAAAAAAATCATAAACTATATTCCCGAATCATCTACTTCCTGATAAAACACAAACACACACACAGCATTTTTACCCAAGAGACTTTAAGGTGAAACCTCATAATTTAAATAGGATACCAGAGAAATAACGGGCAATGGTCACTAGCCAAAGGACATGTTAAACACCACAGATGCCACTAGTCCAATGGAACATCCTCTAAAAGGTTACTACGTTACTACTGCTATATTAAGTTGGGTATTCCACTCCAGTGAAATCAGAGTAATGAAATTAAAAGCCCGCAAATATAAAATAAGAGGTGTGGAAGACAGAAAGGTAACAAAGCGGCAGTAACTGGACCGCAGAGCTAAGGACACTCCGACGTAACCGCCTGCTAAAGAGGACACTAACAAGAAACAAGTCAATCCACTCCATGGAATCCTAGGAAGGCAAAGAGCTGCAGAAAAGCACCATGGAAGGCAGGGGCATGGTGCACAGCTAACATTTGGGGTCTCCCCATGCCTGCCCTAAGTAGGAAACCACGTGTGCTCTCCGGAGAAATCTGACTGGAGAGACTGGACTCTGAAGCCAAGGTTGGGAAGGGTATGAGGTGGAAGATGAAAACAGAAGAATGAAGTTAAAG